CTTGTTGCAGCACAGTTGTTGGTAGATGTTGATAGAAAACCAAAAGCCAATTCAGAAGTACCTCAAAAAATTCTATCTGAAGATGGTTAAAGCTGTGGTTGTAAAAACACTTCCTGTCCTATAGAAACAGCTCTCTCTCTCTTGACCTCTGTAAACACTTCCCTGCTGAGTTTGTGAGGTCAGTCCCTCGAGTTGGGTCAGAATGAGTTAAAAAGGTTGCTCATTGGCTAATGAGTCGTTAATCAGAAGTCATCACTCACCAGCCAGCGAGCATATATTGGATTTTTACATCACTATATATCAGTATTGATCTTAAAAATTGTAAATTGGTGTGGCCTTACTCTCTGACAATGTTTGAATCGAGGAAATCAGTTGTTGCACTAGAAAGCAAAGTATGTTCCCATTGCCCTTTTTACCCAACAGTTTGTTGTTTGACTCTTTTTGTTTTTTTGAGTAATGTGGGGTCAGGACATAATTCCTTTACTATAAACCCACGCTGCTGGAATGTGTTTGAAATTAGCAAGAATGCTGCTAGTGCAGTTTCATCTGAAGATCAGGGCCATTCAACTGTTTGTCAGATAGTACTGCAAGTGTCAAACAGAGACTAAAATATGCAGATGCTTTGATGATATTAATAACAATAATGGATTACATTTAGATAGCGCTTTTCGAGACCCTCAAAGCGCTTTACAATTCCACTATTCATTCACACACTGGTGGAGGTAAGCTACAGTTGTAGCCACAGCTGCCTTGGGGCAGACTGACAGAAGTGAGGCTGCCAAATTACACCATCTGGCCAACACCAGTAGGTGAAGTGTCTTGCCCAAGGACACAACGACCAAGACAGACAGAGCAAGGGATCAAACCGGTAACATTCCGGTTACAAGATGAGCTTCCCGACCCCCTGAACCACGGTCGGCCGTAACCGTGGTTTCATCCATTAATGATATTTAATGGATGGAATCCCCAAAAGTTCTTTGCAGTTTTATATTTACGATAGGTGTTCTAACCGTTTTGGAAATAGGACTGTAATTAGTTGCCAGCCTACTTGTATCCCTTGAAGGAAGATGATTATCACATGTGGTGAACTATCTAGAAAACTTCAGCTAAAAATAGCAAAGACTAAACAAAGAAAAAGTAGCTCAGAGAGAGAGAGAGCACCAGTTAGGAGTTTAAGTATATAGTGAGTAAAAGCTGGTGACTCTCAATTCTACCTCATAAGTATCTTTTTCTTCCTCTGTGGCCTGGCAGGCTTTCATGGCTGCAGTCAGAGTCAGACCTCAGCCTATAATGTTGCCAACCGGTGCACACGGTTGGTGTTGTTGGGCAATTAAACCTCCACCCAGCTGAAACTTTGAGCAATTTGTATGAGAATCTCATTAGGAGAAACTGGGGTTTCACCAGTGACCATAGTTTCCTGTGACGAAAAGTTTTAATTTTATTTTTTTTGTTAGTTCCAGTTAACTTGGAATAGAAACTGAAGATAACTACTACTTTTTTTTTCTCTTTTAGTGCTTTCTGTTTAGTATTGAATAAATAATCTTGAGTATCTCGCAGTAATCAAACATGTAACCCTGATAGTGGGATAAGTGTGGTGATTTCACCCTGTATGATGTCAAATGTATGCTCTAACCAATACTTATTCATGAGATGTTAATAAGCGTCTTCACTCACTTTCCCCTGTGTTTGGATAGAGGTCATTTTGGGGTTTTTGTGACCTGGTCACTTGTGGAAAAAAAGAAATAAGAGGATGTGTGTTATTTATGACATTTGGCCCAAATCCAACTCCTTCTCCTTCTACTTGATGAGAGTTGCTGTTCAGTTTAAAAAAATACTTTCACTTCCATTAATATCGTCCACATCGCTTCTCAGGTTCAGCATGTGACATGTTGAAACAACACCCAGACATGGACAATGCACCATATTGCTAAAGACATTCAGTGAGATTTGAGAAGTCATGTGTTGACTAAAGCAGGCGATAAACAAACTCTGGGCTGTTTGTCTTACGTGAAGCTTAGTCCAAAATTATCCTGTTTCTGCTGCATTATTTTTGTCATTTATAGTTCGGAGCCGACGAAAGCAGAATACAAAAGAAAGTCATTCTTAATCATGACATGTTGTTCTAGGGAAACCAAAACTGTAAAGTCAGCCAGTTACATTTTGAAATAAATTCCATTATGATGGCAGCAGCAGAGGACTTCTCCCTCTTCTGTATATTAAAGTAACCTTGTAAATACCCCAGTTTATGCAACAGAACAAGATCGCTGTGCTTTTTAGTTAACCCCTTAGCAGTCCAATTAGTCCCCTAAACCATCCAATGTACCGTGGGCGGTACGTCCGACTGCTAACAGGTTAAATTGTGCAAAACAAGTACTACATTCAAGTGTGTTTATTGTGATTTAATTTAATAATTACTAAACCGGTAACTTACCTGAATGTATTAATGTTTTGAGCTTTATCGAGAGTAGAGCTGTTAAATGTGATTGTGTGTAATATTCACTGTCTTTGTTATACTTATGTTGGGGTTTGTGTTTGTGTTCAGACCCCGCGGTGGGGCCATGAGAGGCGGCTACAGAGATCCCTAAATATGAACCACTATGCCAATAAGAAGAGTGCAGCAGAAAGCATGTTGGATGTAGCTCTGCTCATGGCTAATGCCTCCCAGCTGAAGGCAGTGATGCAGCAAGGACCAAGCTTCACCTTTTACGTGCCCCTCATTATTCTCATTAGCATCTCTCTCACTCTGCAAATCCTAGTCGGAGTTCTGCTCATTTTCATAGGTGAGTCTGGAGGTTGTTGCCAGATTTCCATTTGCTTAACTTTGTTACAGTTTTCTTGGTATTTTTGGCTTGAAACCTTTAAAAAAATCAAAACATGAGCCTATAGAATTTTTTTTAATTCAGTGTAAACCATAATGTTATTATCTTTACTACTTTAATTTATAAAGTGATAAATAGGTATTATTCATAAATGTGTTCATAAATGCAATTTAAAAGTTGTTTTTTTCTAGTCGCTGTCTAGGGATGGGTATTGATAAGATTTTCACGATTCCGATTCCAGTTTCGATTCTGTTTAACGAGTCGATTCTTTATCGATTCTCTTATCGATTGCAAAAATGGCAAATATTCATTGTCAGCTATGTGAAGTCTAAGTTTAAAGCATGTACTATAACGTGAAGGAAGATTTTTAAGCCTTTTAACCAAAGTTCTCAGCAAAATTCTCAACTTTAAAAGTAAGTAAAAGAATTTTAAAATTAATACGATATTTGACAGGAAGCCAGCGTAAATTTGCTAAAACTGGAGTGATGTGTTCATTCATTTTAACACCTGTTAAAAGACGGGCAGCAGCATTTTGGACTAACTGCAAGCGATGGAGAGATGAGTGTTGAAGACCCAAATAGAGAGAATTGCAGTAGTCTGTTGCGGACACTTGCTTCTCTAATTTAAAAGAGCTACCTGAAAACACTCCGAGATTCCTTACAGTTTGAGAAAGATGAGAAGCAAGAGGACCACGGGTAGTTAGCTTAGTCAGTTAGCTTATCAAAAGGGACATGACTTCCAAAAACCATAACTTCAGTCTTATTTTCATTTAGTGTGAGAAAATTCTGAGTTAACCAGTCTTTAACATCATGTAGACAGTTTAGCAAAGCCTGCAGGGGGACAGAGACATCCAGATTCAAGGGAAAGTAAATTTGGATGTCATCAGCATAACAATGAAAGGGGATGTTGTATTTCCTAAAAATAGACCCCATGTATAGGGAGAACAGAATTGGACCCAAAACAGACCCCTGTGGCACACCACAACACAACGCAGAGGAAGAGGAGTATTGCCCAATAGTAACAGAAAAAGAACAACAACGTGTTCAAGTCTTGATAAAAGAATTTTATCATCAACTGTGTCAAAGGTGGCAGTCAAATCTAAAAGGACAAAAACAATAGAACAACCTGAGTCGACTGTTAAAAGATCACTAAAAACTCTTAAAAGCGCACTCTCAGTACTCAGTACAGTAATGTAAAAACAAAGAATTACCCGATTTTTTTTTTTACCTGATTTTTGTTTCTAAGAAAAATGAGAGCCACATATGAGGATATTCGTTTAAAGAAGAATTCCGATAGAACAGTAGCAGTATAATGTCCTCGTAAGTGGATATCAGGCCCTTTTAGAGAAAAATTGAGTATTTTGGTCTAAATAACCCAAAATGTGATGTCCCCATATGTGGACGCCAGGTCCTAGGAGGCTAACGCAGAAAAATTCACTGGCTCAAACTGCTGAAAAACAGCTGAGCATTTAGAAAGTGAATCTAGGTCTAATACTGCCTGTGAATGCAGGGACCTTAAAGCAGAGATTTTTTCAGTGAAATGTTTCAAAAAGTTTTCACAGTGCAAAGGAAGCTACACTAGGAACAGTGGCACAGGGGTTAACCACAGAATTAAAAATATTAAAAAGAAATCTGGGCTTGTGACTACTGGTAGAAATTACACTGGATAGGAAAGCAGATTTTGCAGCTTTATCAGTTTTCTGATATTTTGTTAAGCGGTCATGCAGGATGCTTTTTCCATTTTCTCTCTGCACGTCGTGTCTGAGAGCACGGGTGGTTTCATTCAGCCAAGGTTGACGTGAAGATTTGGTGCATTTAGATAGCATGTATCACTTGATTATAAACAGACCCATAAACATTGCCTTGTTATGTAGTGTCTCACTGAAGGAAAGAACTAATTATACATCTGAGGGCAGCAGCTGTCGGCTAATTCATGTCTTATCTTTCAGTATTGATGTGACAGAAAACGGTATTGCCCCCATGTGAGGAAATGAGGTAGTTCCTAGTGACTGTGCACAAACAGTAATGATGACTAATGTTTCCATTCCTCCATACTCACGATTATGTTTTTCTTCTTCTGTTTAGTTAAGTGGAATCTAAATGATGAAAGAAATCACTACAGATTGGACATCTTGGAGAATGTGACCACAGCTTTCGTCTTTATCATAGTGGTTATCAACGTCTTCATTACGGCCTTCGGTGTCCAGCAGCCCAGCTCGAGCGGTTGATTGTGTTTTAAATAGTTTTCAATCCCTACTGATCAATTTAGTAAAGGCAGGACATCCAGACAGGGAGAGACAAGATATTTATTCACCAAACTGGCTGGCATGCAGGTGTATTTGCTTTTCTGTAATTCAACCTATCAGGTCTCAGGAGAACCAGTGAACTCAGAGAATCAAGTTACATTATATTGTCTCCTGTGTGTGTGTGTTTCTGAGTAAAAGGAGTTCCTCAGACCATGGCCAGTCATGTAGGGGAGACCGGGGATAGTTGTAAAATTTTTGACATTTCTGTCTGTAAATTGGAGCTCGTT